GGAGATCAGCCTGAAGTCCCAGTGGCTGTCCCGGCGGTCCATCGTCTCCCCCGACGAGGTCAGGCTGAGCGACGACATCCACAGGTGCGCCTTGAACCTCATCCTTTCCGACGGCGGCGGTGAAGGTTCTTCCATCGCCATGATCGCCGCCGCGTGTGCCGCCAAGGAAACCGAACTGATCATCGAGAGGCTGGGCTGCGATCCCCGTCTTCTGGACCCGGAGGAATCCCCCCACGAGAGCACGCGGGTCCGGAAGCTCGCCTTGAGCTGCATGCAAGGTCCTCATCAGGATTGTTCTGATGCTGATCTTTTGGTTCGGAAGGCTGCCCTGCTGGGCATCACGATTGAAGCTGGCTTGATGGCTCAGGACCTGAGGGACAAGTATTATGATTGCAACAAGTCCTACACGAACAGATTGATCCGGGACTTTGCCCTGGAAGTTGTGACTCGAAAATTCGATGGATGTACTATTGCTCCTTCTGCTCATGATGATTTTAGGTACAGTTTCGTCGCTAAACTTGAGGAAGATGCCGAGGAAAAGCGTCGCAGGGACGACCTTGTAGGTTCTGATGATCCAGCTTCCGAGAAGGCATCTGGGGTTTGATGAAGATTCTGACACTTGGGAAAGGACATGATGCACCGTGTGCCTCCACACGGGGAGATGAAAGCTGAGAAATGGATGATGCCATGAAGGAGCATGGATGGATCGTGATTTTCATTTATGCTCCCTTCCGATCGAGTGGTGTACTGTACTGCATGAAGCGGACATGCTTTTCAAACTATCTGTTGGATCTATATTTTACTGTGTGAAACATACCTTTACCATTCTAGCTTATATTTTTGGGCAATAAAAAACCGATTTTGCTATTTCCCAGCTACCTGATTTTTTTTCATCAATCACCTTCTTCCTTCCTTTCTTCTGGCACACTGGACCTCGCAGGAGAAGAAGAAACCTCATCAGAGAAGAACTAGCCTCATTATAGGGGAAAGCTGTAGCCTATCTTAGAAGTAACCCACAACCCCATTATCTATTTTAGGGGCGAGGGTAAGGGTTGCATGGAATCGCTGGAGGTTTTCATCGGTGGTGCCGGGCTTAGAGGGACGGCTGGGATGGTGGCCGGCAACGTCGATGTGGTGAGGTTCAGGGGAGGGCGGAGCCGCGAGGCGGTGCGCGGTAGCGCTCGCCGGCGCGAGTGGTGGAGGCCGACGGTTTAGGGTGTGGCAGACTGTGGGCGTCATGAGGAGGAAGAAGGAATGGAGAAGATGAACAATACGTAATCTATTTTGGGTTGTTGGATGAAGATCTGATGGTCCATATAAGAAGTGACTGATGCAACCTTTTTTTTCACGTACATGATAAATAGAGGCTCCAAAAAAACGCTTTACACAATCCCATTACTCATGTAGAACGAAAGATGAGAAATTTTTCGCAGTTGTCATACTAACAACTAGTATGAAATGAGCGTACAAAAAGGTATTATAATATAGTTGTTGTAATGGGTCGCAATCACCATAATTTATAAGGGCATGTACAATGGTTGATAAGATAGTCTAAATCTTGCATGTAAATTAGAGATGACAAAAAAAATGTCTACAATGGGTCATTTCTTAGCCTTATCTTCAATAATTAGTTGTTCCTAAAAACATGATGAGACAAATTGTGCTAAAGAGATCATCTCTTGTCTTCTCTTAAATAAGAGAAGACAAGCCTTATCTTACGATTTCTCTCTCCTCCACCTCATCATTTATCCTATGTGGCACTCTTAAGATAGAACCATTGTACATGTCCTAAAGCTCGCTCCAAAAAAGAGATTAGCCTTCAAATATGGATGATGGGAAGGCTCGTTTGTAGCATGCTCAATTGTCAACCCGTGGGGGAGAAAAGTTTCATCTTCTGTCTCCTCGCGCCACGATCGGGTTTCTGCCGCACCACCGGCACCAAGAATCACCGGTGAGGAGGAGACATGGCCGCTAACTGCTCGGTCATTAACCGTCAGTATGTTTCCTCTCATACACGAGGCAGCCCGTCGATTGCCGTCGCACAATATCATCTGACGCCGAGCCGCATGCCTCTCTATGCAATATAAGCCCGGGGGTGAGGCATCCCCATCACCCTAACCTTAGCCATCTCCTCCTCCTAGCCATCGTCGCCTTCTCGTCCTCACCTAGTTGTCGTTGATTCTTCCAAAATCTTGAGAATATGACATCCCTCGGATTCTGTCAGAATCTTGAACCCATATCCTATAACTTAAAAGATTCATCATCAATATCTTATTTATTTTAACATGCAGACTATCCACATCATCAAGTAGGTCCATCATGTAAAAATGCTTTTCGAGCAACTCTTCATGTGCGTGCTCCCACTAATTGTTCATGCGCATGCAGTCTACCACAAATAACCATTAACTAATTTTATTTTGTGCATTCTCAAGCAGGCACGTCATCCTAGATTTATTTTGTTATTTGTATATATCTTAACATCATCCGATCCACTCCGGACGTACAAAACGAGTCCCCGTCCAACTATTTGGTTAGACCTCATGTGTTGTTATTGTGTTCTTCTGATTCTGAATACCAAAACGACTGTCTTTTCACATTCTCATTCTCTTGCGCTTTCTGTCCATGTCTCTTTTACTCCCCACGGGTCAGAGAATCGTGTTAGATGCCTTCATTCCCTCGAACCTCCAGTGTTCCGAGCAACCCTTTGATCTCAGTTTGATTTCATTGTGTACAGAGAGGTAGCTCATCAAGTTTTTCTTTCAAAGAATACACTATTCTCATGCAACCTTTTAATCCCAATTTTATTTCACTTCATACATACAGGTAGTTAATCAGACTTTTTTTATGACCAAACTATACTTCACCTAATGGGGAAATATGCATGGTTGCGCACGAGACAAGACAAACAAAAAGAATTATAGCTACCTAGGTGTATTGTGGTGAATGAGCTACCTGGGTAAGTGACCTTTATTTTAATAGAAAATCAAACTAAGAGTGAACACGCATTTTTATTTTCTATGTAAGCTATTTTTTCTAATGAATGCACATATGTAGTTTATATTGTTGTTTTATGTTTAGCCAAGGGCTGAGATGTCTCCATTGTCTCGACGCAACATTGTTTTCATCTCATATTGCCTCGCTGATATATTTTCAAGGTAATAAATTAAAAGAACAAAAATCACACCTATTTTTCGTTTTCATCAAATTTGCTATAAATGCTTACTCTAGCCAATATTTCTTTCAAGGAAAATTCTTTACATCTACTTATACTAGGTTTCATATACTTTCTCATGTTTTTAAACATCAAATTATTTATTAAAAGTTCCGGCAGCAAGGCGCAGGGTATCATCTAGCTTTTTTAACAACCCTACCTAGTTTGGGTCTAAATAGCTATGATTATCAAAATATGTTTTCAAAATTATAGGAGAATCTAAGAGAAAGTCTGATTCTCAAGATTTCAAGAGAAATCGGCCAAAAGATTTGGGTCTATAACTATCTTCAGATCAATCTGATCAAGAGTCTCATCTATACCTCCCCTGTCCCACGATCCATCTTGGTCCTACTTTTTAACCATTAGGCATGACCCTTGCCAGCTAGCACCACTATGTTGTCATCATCGACACACGGACACTAACAAGATGGAAGAGCAAGCACAACTGTAAATCTGTCTCACGAAATAATTAACTAGCCAAGGCCATCTATATCCACGATTTTTCCTATATTAGCAAAATAAAAGCGAAAGTCTACCGATCATCCAAACAAGTGCTAAAACTTAATAACCAGGCTTAATAATGGATGCGAACTAAGAGCAACTCCAACAAATTCCATATATTTGTATCCTCGCAAAAAAAACTTCCATATACTTTTATAAAAAAACTAAGACTACAATATCTAACCAACGTTTGCTGGGAGGGATTGGTATTTGCGAACATTTTGGATGACAAGTTTAGTTATATGGAGTTGGCAATTTATTCAGAAACACATCACAATTTCTGAAAAAAAGAGAAATTTTACGGCAAAAAAGATAGGATTTGCCATCTCCTACCAGGTAAAGTTGCCAAAAAAACGTTGACTTGCTAGTTCTTCCCAGATGACATTCACCAGTTATCATTACCAAAAAAAAACTGTCGTTTACAGGGAGTTCAGGCAAAAATAGCTCTCCAATGGCTTTCGCAGACTCGTTTTCTATGTTTTTCGTACAATTTGTGCCAACTCCCCTCATGTTTACGGAAAGATGTCCCTTTCTGTATAATTTGGCAGACAAGAAACCGTCTAAACTTTCACGAGATGAGACCCTTGCACCGCCGCCATGTTGGGCCACCCCCACCACGCCACCGCCACACCGCCCCACGCCACACCACCCCAGCATGCCGCCACCACGCCGCCCCGCACCTTGCCGACCACTGTCGTACATGTCATTGACTTGCAGGTCCTAGGCCATTAGCTAGGTTTGTTTAATGAAAAAAGAAGAAGATGTTCACGAGAAATGAGAAAAATAGTCATTGGACAATCTTTTCTAAATATTTTTTTTAGTGGTGGCGTGTCCATCAACTAAGAATCATCTACAACGACTTTAATGATCTCAAGATCTGCCGACTCAATCTTTCGGAGGTATTCATAGCGATAGAAACTAGGTGCGTGTGTATATGAATGCTCGCGTTTGTATTGTGTTTCTAAAAAGAACTTAGAAATTGTAGACTGCATTTTTGAAAAAGATCCAAACCAAACACCTAGCAAAAACGTCCGAATGGAGAAAAAGTTTCCGTGCATACGGGTCTCCACGCTTGCTCCCAAAGCGACCCATGCACCACTGACCAGAACCGGATAGCCTCGGCCTCGGTGCCGCGGCGCGAATCCAAGGCCCGCCTCCGTAACCAGAGACCTGACAAGTGACACGCCGCGCAGCCCGCCGAGCAGCCACCGCTTGTCCCTAGTCCCCCTACCCCGTCACACGGGGAAAAGGAGTGGTCTCCGTTTGCCGCGTGCCCACCTCAGCAGCTATGGGCATGGGCATGGGCACGGCACTCCGGCCGGCCATGGCCGCCGCTGCCCCCAACACAGCCCACCGGCCGCGGCCGCTGCCTGCTGCGAATCGCAGCACCAGTCGCCCAACCGCCTCCACGCCGCCCGTGAGAACGCTGGTCTGCTCCGCTCCCCCGCAGTCGAGGCCGCCGCGGCGCGCCGTCACGACCACGGCCCGGGCAGCGGGGGCCGGGGCGCCGTCGTCCGCCTCGCCGGACGCCGTCACCTACTCCTCCAGCATCGACACCGACATGCCCCTCTACGAGCCCCCGGGGGTAAGCGCTGACATCGATCGATCTCCGCATTGGGGGTTTGGAATTCGATGAAATCGCAGGTCGAATTGATTGATTGATTCATCGCGCGTGCGCGGACGGGCTGTGCCTGCAGGTGTCGTTCGACGAGTACCTCAAGGACCGCCCCCGCGTGTTCCGCGCCATGTTCCCCGACGAGAGCCGGAGCCAGCAGCTCAGCGATGTAACTGAAATTACTGAATCTTCTATCTTCCCCCCGCAGGGAAGTGGGGGGAGGACGACGGTGGCGTTGCGGCTGATCGATCGATTATTTCTTGCGCAGGAGGAGTGGAGGATCCAGATGCTGCCGCTGGAGTTCCTCCTCATCACCGTGCGCCCCGTCGTCGTGATGCAGCTGCGCAACCGCGGCGCCGGCGGGCTCGACCTACGAATCGTGCGTCTACAGCCCTCCCTGCTCACGTATGCTGCCAATTTTGTCTCTATCCGCACGGCTGCAAGTTTACAATGTGCTGCTCTCGTCTGGGCTGTGAATGCAGACCGAGTGGGAGCTGAGGGGGCTGGACAGCGGCTACACGCCGGCGAGCTTCGACCTGGGCGTGCGGGGGTCGCTGTACGCGGACAGGGGCCAGCGGCGCGGCAGCCGGCTGAGGGGCCACCTCGAGATCTCCATCACCGTCGCCCTCCCGCCGCCCCTGCGGATCGTGCCGGAGGCCGTCCTCCGGGGCGTCGCCGAGTCGGTAAGCATCGAGCGCCAAGTCGTGGTGCTGCTGACATCGCTGTGTTGTGCCTAACAAAATCTCTGTTCTCGCCGAGAAATGTGGAACTGAAAGCTTGGAGCGTGCAGGTCCTGTCGACGCTTGCCGAGAGGATGAAGCGGGACGTGGACGTCGGCCTCGTCGCCGACTTCCGGAGGTTCCGGCTGGAGAAGGCGGCGTCCAAAGCGGCGGGAGCGGCGGTGGCGAGAGCAGACAGAAAAGCGTGAAAGCCTTGAGTTTTCTTCCTTCTGACCGTAGTTGGGGATTCGTTCCAAGGATTGTTTTTACAAAGATCCTGTGATGTTGCGTGCGATACATACATATGCATTCCCGTGTATAGAGAATTTGATTCGAAATACCTGTAGACCCTTTTTCTGGTATCAAAAAACCTTGAAACCAAAGTTCATGATATTCCCACAAAAAAAAAAGTTCATGATCCTTTATAGATGTATGACTTTCCCGGGCCGATGTGGACTAACATGACCCAAGCACGAATCACACCTAACGTCGCGCTTGGCATGGGGGTATTTTTATACACCTGTATTTATTTTACAGGTGTATAATACCGGCCACACTTGATTTTGAGCCGGAAAGAAAACCGACGATAGGTGTATTCCGTGGCGAAACGCCAATCCAAGCAGGGCCAGAATGTTGATGCCTGAAGGAGCAGCTTCATTGGTTCGCCCCGTTGAAATCGATGTTGTGGTAAGTAACAGCGAAATCGATGTCGTACTAAGTAACGGCGAAATCGACCCTACACCTTACCTAACAACCTGACGGTGGAGGGATGCATGGTGGTTATATGCTTCTTACTGTTATCTCCATGACGGCACAATCTCGCCTATGTCGACGACGAGGTGGAAGAGACGAAGGGGACGAGCAGCTCACGAAGGGGAGGACCACGTCTTGGTGCCGGAGATCTTGGTCTGCACCATTGGTAAGTCGGTGCTGCTGCCGATGCCGAGAACTATGGCTTGAGTTGTCTTCCGCTAGAGGTGAGCGAGTAAAAGGGGGTGTGGCTGCAGATTTCGTGCCATCCGACGCCTGCAAATTTCCATATCCCACCATCTTCATGCCTGCACACCCGCGTACCCCCCCTAACAAGCCAGGACATGGAATGCTTTTTTTTTGAAACGGAGGCAAAAGATTTGCCTCATCCATTAATTAAGCAGAAGAGAGTTGTCTGTTAATTAACGGAAAACCGGACTAAAACCGCCACAAACCGCCGAGCGGCACACATAAAAGATACTCCACACACACATCAACAAGGAGGGCCCCATCAAGATACACTCAGACGTCATCGTCATCACTTCTTCCCAAGAGGCGTCATCGCCCTCCCTAAACTCCGAGCAAGCGACTCCGACTTCGCCGAAGACGAACCTCGACCCCGCTGAGGGAGTCATGGACTAAGGGGTCCTCGGGCGTCTGGGCTATGTGATATGGACCGGACTAATGGGTCGTGAAGATAAGAGATTAAAAACCTTTCCCCGTGTTCGGATGGAACTCTCCTTTGCGTGGATGGCAAGCTTGGCGTTCAGATCATGCACCTTCCTTTCTCTGTAAACCGACTCTGTACAACCCTAGATCCCTCCGGTGTCTATATAAACCGAAGGGTTTAGTCCGTAGAGCAATAACAATCATACAGGCTAGACATCTGGGGTTTAGCCATTACGATCTCGAGATAGATCAACTCTTGTAACCCCTATACTCATCAAAGTCAATCAAGCAGGAAATAGGGTATTACCTCCATTAAGAGGGCCCGAACCTGGGTAAACATCGTGTCCCTGCCTCCTGTTACCTTCGATCCTTATACGCATAGTTCAGGACCCCATACCCGAAATCTGACTCGACCTTGTTTCGTTTGTTTCTACTTGTTTTGTTTGTTTTGGCCTTGGTCTTTGCAATGACCCTTCTCGTTCTTCTCGTGTGTTTTGTGTTGTGTGTCATAGATGGTGGCTCTAATGTCCATCGCTCGAATCCCAGCCGCGACACGAGCTCCAAGCGGCTTCGCAATCAACAAGCACCTGAGGGCTCCAATGCCCCTCAACGCAATGTCAAGAAGACCGCAACAAGTTCAAGGAGCCAACCGTTGGCATGGACGAGATGCCTCAAGCCGAGTTCATCATTCGAAGGAGGATTAACCCCTATGTGAACCCTCATGAGAATGTCAGAGGGAATGAGTTGTTCTGGACCAAGCAGCAGAATCTCATCTACATCAATGTGATCAAGTCCAAGCACAACATCTATGTTCCAATGCAGTGGATTGATATGAATCATCTGAGAAAGGACCGGGCATACTTTGGTGAGGCGTTGGACTTGGTGGAGTAGTTTGGCATTGAAGACTTTATCACGTTCCACATGGACTTTGACCCGGAGATCGTGTCTGAGTTCTTTGCTTCCGTCCACTTCCACACGGATGAGGGGCGGACTATGACTTGGATGACCAATGGGAAGAGGATGTCTGCTAAGTGGAAGGAATTCATGGAGATGTTGCATGTTCGTGATGAGGGGCTCAATGTGCCCGTTGGTATCCGCCCTCACGGCAACCCAGAGTCCGCCAACAAGAACAAGCTTCAACTGTTCCTTGTGGAGAAGAAGTTAGCCAATGGCACGCAGTCTTGGGTACTCAACCCTTTCCTTGACGTCATGCATCAAATCTTCCGCAACACTCTCTTTCCGCGCATTGGTGGCAAGGATAAGGTGCATGCTTATCTCGTGGATATGATGCTGCTTTGTGAGGAGGCACATCGTCAAGTTACCCAACCTCTGGACATCTCCCATATCATGTGGGTTGAGCTCCGGTTTGCAGTCTACAATCACAAAGTTCCCATCTATGGTCCATACCTGCACCTCTTGATCTCGAAGACTTGGGAGAAGCACTTTCCAGATGAAGACTTTTCTGCTCCAAACTGGGTTCGCCACGAGCCTATCAAGCTGCGTCAGAAGAACAAGTGGGCCAATACCACTACCCGGGCTAAGGCAGAGGCTACTAGGATGAATGTTGATGAGGACGAGATTGAGGAGGAGGCTGAGGACAGTTCTGCGGGGTACGCTCCTCCATCTGCGGAGCCCTCTTGGGCTAAGAAGCTAAAGGCAAAGATGAAGGCTCTGTTCTGCATGCAGGCCAAGGGGTAGTACAAGACAAATGTTTCTTAGAAGGAGAGTCGCCAGCGCGATAAGAGGGTCTTGAGGACGTTTAGCGAGATCGTGGAGAGCGGGTCAGAGAAGAACATCACTCCTGAGGCTGACTGGATGACGAAGAAGGGCTATCAGTGGACCGAGCAGAGGAGGAGTCCATTCCCGCTGCTGAGACCGATGAGGAGATTGTTGGGTTATCTCTACAGAGGAAGCTACCACCGGTGTTGTAGGTGTCCTCTCTGCCTTTTTGGTGTCTCGATGCCAAAGGGGGAGAGAGTGTAGGATTTGCGAGTCGTGTCTCTTTGTTTTCATTTCATTGGACCTTCGTTCGTGTTGCTTTGCTTTGTTGGTTTGCGTTTGTGTTCGTGTGAGTCCCCGAGACTATCATATGGTGTGAGACATATGCACTCAAGCTTATCTTATCGTATATTATGCTTAGTAGTTTGTGAGCTTATGTGATCTTGTGCCCTTTTCCTTTATGCTCATATACATTACCTTGCCTTCATGCTTAGTGTCAGTTATATTGTTGCAAGGAATGCCTTGTCTATAAAATATAGGGGGAGTGTTGATCCCAGTATGTGTGTCGTGCAGTCCAAAACATATCTATAGAGTGCACACATATACGGGGAGCCTGTCTATATTTTATAGATGTTGGGGTTGCTTATGTTCAGTTTTATATCCTTATGTGCAAATCCCGTATTGTCATCAATCCACCAAAAAGGGGGAGATTGTAAGGGCATATTTCTCCCTATGTTGTTTTGATGATTGATGACAATGCATTTGCGTACTAATCGTGTGCATTGAGCATTTCAGATATCTCATGTCTAGGCACAAGACGATTCAGTGCCCCTCGGAGCCTAGAGAAGACGACATTTCTCTACGTTTTTTTTGGTGGATTTGAGTCGTAGCAAAGCCATACTATTAAGAGGGGGTCCGCTTCGGAAAGGTTAGGGTGGAATCAACATGTACACGTTTGTCCCTGTGCACCACCTTTCCTTTGCTTCTTTGGAGCACCGACCGTTTATCCGTGTCTCTACAAAATGAAGGACTCCAAGTGCTATTGTGCTGCGGCATGCGGTAGTACTACTCAAGGGAGTAGCAGTACCACAGTGGCCCACGGTAGTACCGGCCAGGGAAGTGGTAGTACTGTGCTGTGCGGTAGTACCTCTCCTCAGGCGCAGTAGTACCGTGGCCTCTAGCCCAGCACAGTGACATGCGCGGAAGTAGGGATGGAAGTAATTTTTTACATCCGCGCTCTATGCGGTAGTATTGCTCCTTGTGTGCGGTAGCACCGTGCCGGATTTTTGCATGGATCAAAACACAATGGAAGTAGCCACAGATGTAATTTTATTAGTCCGTGCCTTCCCAGCCTAGTCGAACCATGCCTGGCGGTAGTACTGCAAGGACGTGCGGTAGTACCGCTCGTTGCTTTAACGCAACATGGCCTCGTCTGGTCTCTGCCGCGGGAGCGGTAGTACCGCAAGTCGGTGCGGTAGTACCGCATGTCGCGGGCTGAGCTAGTGGGTAACGGTTGGATCTTTCCTCTCTATATATAAGGGGGGTCTTCTTACCCAAGTTGACCACCTCTTCCCTCCCAAGCTCCATTGTTGCTCAAAGCTTCAATTTCACCCGATCTCTCTCCCTAGCCAATCAAACTTGTTGATTCTCTAGGGATTGGTTGAGAAGGCCCCGATTTACACTTCCACCAAGAGAAATTTGATTCCCCTACTAATCTCTCACGGATCTTGTTACTCCTGGGTGTTTGAGCACCCTAGACGGTTGAGGTCACCGCGGAGCCATATTCCATTGTGTGAAGCTTTGTGGTGTCGTTGGGAGCCTCCAATTAAGTTGTGGAGATTGTCCCAACCTTGTTTGTAAATGTTCGATCGCCGCCTCCAAGGGCACCAATAGTGGAATCACGACATCTCGCATTGTGTGAGGGCGTGATGAGAATACGGTGGCCCTAGTGGCTTCTTGGGGAGCATTGTGCCTCCACACCGCTCCAATGGAGACGTACTTCCTCTCAAAGGGAAGGAACTTCGGTAACACACCATCGTCTCCACCGGCTCCACTCTTAGTTATCTCTCAC